CATGGCGGGGGGGATGGAGTCCCACATCTGGCCCTGGCCCCGCCCCCACTTCTCATCCAGTTGGGGGAGGGGGCTAATGGGCCCATTCCCCCACCCTCACCCCTGCCGCTTTGGGGCCAGGCTCATTCCCACCCCTCCCTTCAGGGCTGTTCTTATGTCATGGCAACGGTGCCACCATGCCCCACCCCTGCCTCCCAGGCTGGGTGGGATGGGAACTTGCACATAGTGGCAGATGGGCAGCTGCACGCTCTGCCACTGGTAACCCCCCTTCCTGCTCTCTTTTTTCCCCCTCTTCCCTGGAGCCTCCCCCTCCCTGCCAACTGTTGTTAGGGGGGAGGGGGGCCTCTGGCCCCTCAGTACCTGCTGTCATGGTGGCACTCTGCTATGCATCTTTGTCTGTTGGAGCACTCTGATTGGCTGCCGAGACAACCAATCAGTGTGAATAAATATTACAGATAAAGACAGACAAAGTTTTCTATAATATTAGAATTTTTGTTATATATTCCATTAGTAATGACTTTTTGCATGCAATAGATGCATTTCCTCTTTATTATAAGAAAAAGAAAAAACACTTGCCGAAGATTTTCTGTCCATTTTATTTCCAAATCATGAGCCATTCTGTCAACTTTGAACTTTTCCTCTTCTCTCATAGCAGCAATCATTGCCTCATGTTGCTGTCTTTCCTGTTCTAGTTCCCCCTGTAAACACAAACTTTACAATAGAGATTGATCAGCAGCAAAAAAATATTTAAAACCTAAATTTTACTCTGAATTCAATTCAAAGCTCCCTCTAATATATGCTTCTACAGCTGACAACTTATATGGCCTTTAAAATCTCATTTACTGGCATATCATTTTTGACATGATTAATTATTATTAATTATTTAATAAGCCCACCATTATGACTCCCATGAAAGCCTATATTGTTAGAAACATTTTCAGCTCCACAAATACTTTATCCATACACATTTTATTTCTATGAATTTGTTTCTTTTTCTGTTTGTGAATTACCTACAAACAGAACACAATTAGCTATTTAAATCAGGCAACCTACAACCCATTGGCCAGATCCAGCCCGTGGAGCCATTTGATCCAACCCACAGATACAAGGCTTCAGTGACAGGTGCTTCAACTGCAAGTGTTCTCCTTGTGTCGCCGCAGAGATGCACCAACTGTGGATAGGGCCTAGCACCTGCTTGCTCACCTCTGATCCAAAGTGGGTCATTCTAGCCCATAGCCAGAAAAAGCTGCCAAACGCTAATTTAAAATGTTTTCAAGAAATGTCTTCTGCATATAATTTGTCATATGTCATTTGCAAGCCATTTGATGCAATATTTATCATCTTGATTCAAGTTTTGAGTTTCTCTTATTAGAAACAAATTTTGTATGTTATGTTTCTGATCTCTGACTGGCCAGGCATAATTCCTAGAATCCAGTTTTTTGCTGTGAATACTTCATTACAATTAGAAATTAAAATGATCTTTTTGTGAACGTTTCTTTTATATTTGCTTAAAATTACTAGTTACAGTAGTTACAGTATTCCTATCAGGAATATTTGTTTTATTCATGAAAAGCCACCAAAGACACCTACACAGAATCAGATTTTTGTAAATAACTATTTGTAGGAGATCATTTGCAGTATACATTCACCCTAATAAATACATTCTAAGACCTGCTGGGGGCCACTGCTAATAGCAATAATTTGCTATACATGAACATTTACATTTACATTCATATTCTTTGCGTGTGCTGTAACAGAGCACAGTGATTATCAGAGCTCCAAACTGCATACAAGTAACCAGCAACATGTACAAGAGTTCTTAAAATGAGAAGTCACACATGGAATTTTTAATATTTTAATTAAAAATATATACATGAGCAGCCTAGTTTATGTCATTCTTATTAATAAAATAATTTTAAGTAGTAATGTTCTAAGAGACATTTGTGCTCTGCTGTTTAATTAGTTAGTAAGGAAGAAAAAACGGCATGCAGTCAAACAATTTGAAACACATTAGTTTAACTATACTCCTGAAGACTTTGAATTTCTGCCTGTCAACTTTTCTTTTCATCTTTTGTTTTTAACTGAAATTCAGCGAGTCAGTGTAGTTCACCGTGAAGAGTAGGATATTTTATGCTACAGAGATGGGATTCTGAAGCTCCAAAAATATATAGCAAGTGAAGATATGAGGGCTGCTGAAACTTAATACTGCTATTATTATTTTTATTATTATTATACCTTGTTTTCAGTTGTTTATAAAACGTTAACTATTTAGGCTCAATTCTCCTTGCTAGGTATCTGCCTGCAATTGCATTCTTTGGGGGAAAGCTTGACAAAAAATAGTTCTTACTGTTTCTAAAAATCAAATCAGGAGAAAACGTGTTGTTTTCCATGGGCTAAAAAATCCTCGCAAATTGTATCATTGATAAGCTCTTGGGCTTCCATGTTTTGGCTTGAAGAACTGTAAAACTGTCCTGGTAACTTTAAGATTCCCAGGAGACTTGGCTAACTACTTTTCAGAGACTGTATAGATTCAGTACAGACTTGTTACAGATTGGCAACATCCTCTGAAGATTCTGTCTGTATTGAATGTATTCTATCCTAGGGCTTCAGTAACTGAGCAGGACATTCCCTGTAATTGAGCGTGTAATCATGTATAAGAGTACATGTATAAATATATGTATAAGGAATAAGATACAGTCTTGACATGATCTCGTACTATTTTTTTTCATTTACCTTATCCTTGGGAAATGTTAGTTCAGCATTTCATAGAATCATAAAAAATTAGGGTTGGAAAGGACTTCAGCAGGTAATCTAATCCAATCCCTTGCTCAAAACTGGACCATCCCCAACTATATCATCCTAGACAAGGCTTTGTATTAGCTGGGTCTGAAAAACCTCCAAGGATGGAGATTCCTTGGACAACCCCTCTGGGTAATCTGTTCCAGAGCTTGACTACCCTCCCAGTGAGAAAGTTTTTCCTAATATCTAACCTAAACATTGCTTGCTGAAACTTGAGACCATTACTTCTTGTTCTGTCATCTGCCACAACTGAGAAAATTCTAGCTCCATCCGCCTTGGAACCCCACTTCAGGTAGTTGAAAGTTGCTATTAAATCCCCTGTCAGTCTTTTCTCTTCAGACTAAATAAACCCAGTCCCCTCAGCCTCTACTCAGAAGTCATGTGCCCCAGCCACATCATCATTTCCATTGTCCTCCACTGGACTCTCTCCAATTTATCTGAATCCTTTCTGTATTGCAGGGCCAAAAACTGGACACAGTATTCCAGATGTGGCCTCACCAGTGACAAATAGATCACTTTCCTCAATCTGCTGGCAACACTCCTACTAATGCAGCCCTGTATGCCATTAGCCTTCTTCACAACAAGGGCACACTGTTGGTTCATATTTAGCTTATTTTCTGCTGTAATCCCCAGGTCCTTTTCTGGAAGCTGCTGCTTTGCTAGTTGGTCCCCAGCCTGTACTGGTGGATGGGATTGTTCCATCCTAAGTGCAGGACTTTCCACTTCTCCTTACTGAACCTCATGAGATTCATTTTGGTCCAATACTCCAATTTGTCTAGGTCTCTCAGAATCCTCTTCCTACCCTCCAGCATATCTGCTACTTCCCCCAGCTTGGTGTCATCTGCAAAGTTGCTGAGGATGTAGGTCAATGATGAAGATATTGAACAAAACTGGCCACAACACTGACCCCTGGGGCACTCTACTTGATACCTGCTGCCAACGAGACACTAAGACATTGATTACTATGCTTTGAGCCTTTTCTATCAACCTTATAGTCCACTCATCCAACCCAGACTTCCTCAGTTTGCTTGCAAGAATGTTGAGGGAGACCATATCAAAAGCCTCTCTAAAGTCAAGGTATATCACGTCCACTATCCCAAAGCTCCTTAAACCGATAGACCACTATCCCATGCTCCTTATTCATGTGGGCACCAATGACACTGCTCGGAGCACTCGCAGCCAGGTCATGAGGCGCTACAGGGATTTGGGAGCGGGGCTTAAGGGTCTGGGGGCACAGGTAGTGTTCTTGTCGATCCTCCCAGTCTCAGGCTATGGGCTGAGAAGGGACAGGAGGATCTATGTGGTCAACCAAAGACTGCAGTGCTGGTGTCGTCAGGAAGGCTTTGACTTTCATGACCACAGCCTGCTC